CAACAAACGGCCATAATTCAGTAAAACGTGGAATGGTCTATAACGTTCAATCAAATACCCCGAGGAAGATCGGAATACGCCATAGTGTTGTTGATCCGATTATAGTCCCCATGTTCAGTTATATCCAGAACCGAGGTCTTGGCATATTCTGCGTCACTGAAAGTTAGTATTTGTTGACGAGTGCCACACCATATACAACATGTTAGTCGTCTATTATCAGAATCCATGGATAATAACAAGATCTACTACAAATAAAAAGATTAGCGATGATAAATCAGAGGTGTGGATCAAGTGGCAAATTCTCGTGTAGTGTCTGGATTAAGCTGACAATCTTAGAGGATATGATACTGCTTTAGTATTTTCCAAATTTTTGATATATACACCAGAGTTTTAAACCTATAAATCCACATATATTTGGTTCCTGTTTGGTATGCACAGCACACATCACAAGTTTATATTTCTTCTGAACATCTCAGCTGAATAATATGCTTGGAAATGTTGAATTCCTCTCCAATTTTGACAAACCCCCACCCCCTTTATTTGGTATAGCTATAATTTAGCCCAGCTCTACTCCCGTGGTATGATGTCATTCTCCCTAGGTCTTGGCATTGCAAGGGATCTTGCGAACACAAGGAAATTTGACCACACTAAGCTTCTCTTATGGTACACAGTAATAGGAAATGAAATGAAATGAAATGAAGTTTAACGTCCTACTTTTCTGCTCCTAACCTGGGCTAATGAAGACGGGCATACGCCATACAGTGTGCTATGAGGGAAATTTTGCCCGGACAGCGGCACTACGGCCTACTCTTATATCGAATTCCAACTGCCAAGGGATCTTTTACGTGCACGCCAATGTGTACACGGGACCTCGGTTTTTCGTCCCATCCGAACGACTAGACAGCTTTCCTTGTCAGCCCCTCCGTCCTGCATCACTGACAAGGGAGAACCACGCCGGAAAATCTGGATGAACTTTCTCGGCCAATGCAGGGATCGAACATCCGACCTCCAGGCTAGCGAGCTAGCGTCTTACCCACTTAGCCACGTGATCCCCCACAGTAAGAGGAGGGATGGAGTTGTTTTGTGTCACTCTCGAATTGGAAATACTTTTTAAATTCATATGTATATCTAAATGGGTTGACATAAACACATTTACATCACTCGTTTGAGTTTTATTGTAAAGTGCTAAGCTATTTGTATATAAAACAATTTTAAAAACTTGTACGAATGAACGACTGTGATATTTGCTTTTATTTATGTATGTGAAATTTTGTGTGACAATATTTAGTTTGTCTCGTAAATATAGCCATATGTTTGGTGATGACGTGCCATTAAATAACATTTTATTTCATTTCTGAAAGAGAACGGAATTGCAGATTTTCCCCGCCAGTTCTTATCGTTATGAGTTTTGACAACAAACGGCCGTCTTCCCCTTTATGCGCCCTTACGCATATACGTGTTTCTTCCATCTACCTGTGAGTACGATTTTGGCTCGCTAACCTAGAGGTTCGAGTTCGACTTTGGTGTTGTCCGAGAAAGTTCATTGGGATTTTCTGGCGCCCCCTCCCCCACTACCCCACGCACTCCTACCTAGTCTAATATCTCACATTGGTACACTAGATGCACACTCTGCAGGCGGTTTGTTTCTTGAAACTATTTAATATACCTGTCTCTTGTGGGTGATTAGCATTGCACAATGGTAACTCTCTAAAAGAGAACCGAACTGCCAGGATCGCCATCTATCAAACTTCTTTCAGATTCTCATGAACACAACTCTTGCGTTGATCACTTTGATTATAATAGCCTGTGTACAGATAGCTTTCCCTGTTCTATTACTTTACTCAATCTTAGTATCTCTCCTTTATACCCATAAAGTATCATATAGTACCTTGGGAACGGGATGATTCATCTCCGAATTATCAATCCATTTCACACGTTCTTCGTCTTTCATGAAAACCATGATTTGCTATGAATGTTTCGGTACCAACGAGGGTTTTATTGTCAGCTTTAAATGATTTCGCTTCCCGGGGACATAGGGTTGGACTTTTGCAGCCTAGCTCACGGGTCGTCTCACAGACAAGCCTCAAGAAACCGGGTGAACATTTTGTATGTGCAGGACCAAAAGTCTCTACCGCCAGTCTGCGATCTTCTACGGTGGCGAACACACGCAAGTGACGCGTAAGTCTCGCGCACGGGCTTATATGCCTACTAAAAGATTCCCCCACAGGCTGCCCGTAGTAGCACGTACGGCGGTTTGTGGGCTAGGCTTTAGTCTTAACCATGATTTGGAAATAAGGAGTGTTGTGTTGTCACCAGTATGGTTATGAACAAAATATGTCGAGTTGTATTGTACGACATTGTATTTTCATAAGTGGATTTTGTTTTGACGAAAAGGGTCAATGTTTTAATCTGTTTTTTACTTTAAAGTTTTCATGGGAGACCATACTTGAGGTTTTAGATTTTCTACAATTATTTCGGATTCTTAAGAATCCAGGTCTCACTGACGTCATTGCTTTTTGTAAGGTAACGTGGTTCAGTGTGTCAGGTTCGCTTACCAGGAGGTATCGGGTTCGATCCTTGTGATGGTCGAGAAAGTTCCCCGGAATTTGTCAGTGGTGTAGGACTGAGTCTGGTAAAGAACAACGTCTGGTCGTTTGATGGAACGGAGAACCTTGATAAGAGAGGGAGTGAGAGAGGGGGGGGGGTGACGTCCAATCGACACAAACTAGGTCATTTCGGGACTAACTTATGGTTCAATTTTCTTTCAATAATTCGCTTGCGCGTAGGGGTCTTTAGCAGTGGGAGGAAATCGAAAGACCCGGAGAAGACTCCCGAGGTTGGACAGGCGATCCTACTCCTTGTCGTGTACAAACGGGAAATAGAAACCACGCCACTTGACACAGTGACAGACCTTAGATGCAACGCGCGCGCGTTAACCACCCGTCCTCAAACACTCCAACACCCCAAGATGGCGTAAATGTTACCGAACCCTGGACAGTTGAAATTCGATGAAGATTAGGCACCATTTTTCTCACAGCAGACTAACGTAGAAAACTAGAACGATGAAGTTTATTCTATTTCATTAATTAATTCGTACGTCTTTTCAGAATTAATGTAAAAGTACAAGGCAATTACATTTCGGGCTCGTGTTCGAATTGGTAACGCACGTAGAAGATGTCCGGACACTTGGAATACGGAGAAGAGTAGGTGGGAATTCCGCTGACCGTTTCACGCTACAAATAAAAATGACCGTGTCAGTCTCTCAATGACCCAAGGAGGGGGTTGCCATTTCGTATTGCTGGCTTCTTACAAAATACTTGTTACCAAAATAGTTGTTTAATTATTAAAGCGCACAAATGCAGTCGTAATGTGATCTTCTAATTTGTTTATTCAAATCATTTCCATTTTCGTTTTCAAACGAAATGAGAAAACTATAGTAATTAATATATTATGGTCGAGTTAGATAAGCACATGGTGAAGAAACGCTGAGATAAAGGGGGGTTATAAATGCGGAGATACGTAATACCATGTGAAACTATTATACTCATTCAATCTATATCAGACTGGGATGCTTTATATTATGTAATAGATAGCCCGTTTGGCTTCTGAATGAAACAAGAGTCGAGTGAACATCCGTAACACAAGCAAGCAGTTACACAGTCGTCACAATATAAAGATCAGTAATCAACAGCCAAAGAGCTATATCAAACTCAACAATACCTTGACCAACGATCAAACAATGTAACAACTGCGCACGTGTCTCTTTCAGGTAGGAGTTAGCGGTGATTAAGAGGTTTAATTTGCTAGAAAGAAAAGTATTTCGCGCGGTTGTATTGAGTTAACATGACTGCTGTCTGCACTATACAATCGGATGTACTCCGATAAATTGTGATCGGGTGGAAGGGCTTAATATATGTGAGGTTTTATATCTAGAGTTTTAAGGCAGACAGGGGCTTGCACTAAGGGGAAATATGATTGCTGTATTATTTTTCTAAGAATATAACGAACGAATTTGCTATCATTTTGAATAACGCCAAGTTTATATCATATCGTTAAACAAAATCATCTGCGCCAGGTCAGCTATAAGCTCCCCCATTTTCTTCCATAAAAACATTCATATCTCGGCAAAGTATCGAGTTTAAAACCTCACTTTGTTTACAAAATCACTGATAGGCAAGTCGCAGCAACCCGAAAATTATTATTTTGTATTGATGGGAAACGGTGAAAATAAATGATACAAATTAATGCTGTGTATGTATAGTGAGCTTAATAAGTTTATCGTGGGGTGGTGGGGTGTAATTATGAAAATAGGGGACATGTGTAGACTCCAGGGGTTACCTGTAAGGATATATATTGTTGTGGGGTAAACACACTACATGAATGTCAGGGACGACTGTAAAGATTTTATTAAGTGCAGGAGAACTGCACCACACATAAACAATTACACAAGACAAACACGCGGACAAGACATACAATATATACACAGACATTACAAACAACAAACGTTTATATCTAATGAAGTGAATGGTGTAAGTAAGTAAGTAAGTAAGTAAATTTATTGCATAAAAACGTCCATGAGGAGCAGCATACAATTACAAAAATTACATAATTACAATACAACAAATATACATGTAACAAATAAACGAACATTAATACAATGCAACAAATCTACATGTAGCAAATAACGAACGTATTATGTATATAATGTTAGAAATCAATTAAATAGCAAGGGGGGAGTGCAGTCGTAACTACATGCATGTAACGCAATGTGACAAAATTGCAGTTACCGGCGCTGATTCTAATGTTATGTGCGTGAATGTTTGGATGGGTTATAATGTTAGTGAAGGTTTTATTTTAATGTGGGACGTGTTAATGTAGACTATAGCCTATTATTACAGGTGTTGGGTGATTAGAGGAGAACAATAACACGCCGGACTGATTATAGTTCACACTCAGCTCCTCTTCAAACCGTAACACCTGCTAGCTGAAAACATTGAAAACAATACCCCACGACAAGTCCACCTCGCAACGTTTGCAAGTCATCCTACTCTTCTAACTATCATTCTTGTTAAAACGTCTGAAGAAATCCTTCAGTTATCGTCGGTACATATTGTTGGGTATTCTTGTAACCTTCTTCAGATGAACAAAACCCCTTTCATACCTCATGAATATGAATGAGATTGGGATAATCACGTGGTTGGAGTAAATGTCTAATGGACGATATAGTTTGTATACTACTGTTTGGTTTCATCGTGCTTATGTTCGAGAAACGGAAATTTGAAATCAACAGAGAAAGAGAGAGATACTATCTTAAAATGTAATGCTATCGTAAAAAATACTTCTCATACGGAAAAAAAATACCACATGTGAGTTTTGTAGCAGAAAAGGAGTAGACTTGATCTGAAATGTTTGGATTTTATCACAAGTTGGAGTTACGATATCTGACAAAAACTAGCATTTATATTATTAAGCACATTAAAAGATAGACAGAATGCTGAAAGTGAATTTGACGGAAGTTGTTTATGTGATATAGTAGTTGTGTTTTATTCGTCCTATTTGCTGTCTGTCTATCCAACATGTCGGTATATTGTATATGCGTGCTGGTGTATATTTATTTTGTATCTGTGATAGCTAGCGGATTAATCACCTCATCGGGAATTGATTTATCCGGAGTTGACGGAAAGGTAAGTGTAGTTTTGATACCCTTACAAAAACTAATGTTGTTAGATGTTGTTGTCACTGATGACGGCCGGTCCATTCACATATTGTACGGATGCTTTGTAAGGAACTTTTATTTTTTAGACTTTCATTTTTAATGTGTGCGGAGGTAAATTAGCTAGGTATTGGGAAGAATTTCGTGGAAATTTGGGTTCCATGTACGATTTATCGTAGTTGCTCCTGCCAGTGGAGGACCCAGGTGGTGGCCCTAAAAAACAGTATAACAAATTCACGTATTATTCTGGTTCTATGAAACGTTGGGGCCACAGTGGCTAAGTTAGTAAGACGCTGGCTCGCTAACCTGGATGTGTTGGCCGAGAAAGTTCATCGTGATTTTCCGGTGTGGTTTCCCCTTGTCAGTGATGCAAGATGGGGGACATGACAAGGACCGCTGTCTAGTCGTTCGGATGGTACAGAAACTGAGACCCCGTGTATACATTGACGTGCACGTAAAATATACCTTCTCAGTTGGAGTTCGATATAAGAGTAGGCCGTAGCGCCGCTGTCCGGGCAAAATTTCCCTCACAGCACACTGTATGGCGTATTCCCGTGTTCATTAGCCCAGTCGGAGCAGAACAGTATGTCGTTAAAGCCGATTTCATTTTATTTTCATTTCTATGAAATGTTTAAATTTGAGCTTTTTGTTAGTTGGGGTGATTTAGATGATAAAATTGAATTTTATATTCGGGTCCAGATATTCATCACAAATCACCATTGCCCCTGCGTCCCCATCCCACCCACCTTACCCTTTACCACATACCCTGCGTTCGGCACTGACCCCTGCTCGGAAGTTTTATAAAAATACTTTAAAAAACCGCCGAGACGATGTAGCACTAACATTCATCACGTAGTTATTCGAGCCACATGCATATTTGAATATGTTTATTTTTTTAAAAATGGGTTGTTTGGTTAAATAAAAAGGACGAAGCGTATTGCAGTTCGGCGCAACCTGACAATTTATCGTAGAGTTATCTCCCCTGTCGTTGATACCATATGAGTGGTCTGCAGTTCGGGTTACTGAATATTTTATGGAACTACCTGGGTTTGACAACTAGCCTATCGATCTACACGGAAAGTGGGGTTGTTTTAGGGAAGGTAAGAATTGGTAGTGGGTCTTCTAATTATGAAAGGAGTAACCCCAGATATATTTCGGTGAATAAAACTGTTAAATTCTGTGTGAAAGACTCTTGCAAACTTTTATCGCTAGTCCTGTTTAACTATCTGTAAGGAATGAAAACTTCCCGTTTTAATGTGGGTTTGGTCATGCGGCCGCAAGGGCACCATATCTGTATATACTTGTAATGAAATTCCCTGAATTAGTTACTTATTGTAGCCCGTTAACAGATCTAGAGCTCATTTCTGATCGACTTAATATTTTGATTTTGAATTTTCAGAGATGGCAAATGGCCTTATTCTGCACGTTTTGTCATTTGATTTGGGTACTTCAAGCCACGTTTTTTTTACGATACCATCTGAAATATGTGACGCCCCATCCCATCCTTTAAAGTGTTAAGATGATAAAGCTGCCGACTTTCGTTGCCAAGAAATATATTTTAATTCAAGATATATATTATGCAATATTACCGCATAATATCCCCCGTATTCTGACTATGGCGTGTTTCCAGTAGAAGAAAGTACTAGTAGACAGTTTCTGCCTTATAGAACCTTCCGAATTAATCAGAAATGGAATCCAATGTTCTAGAAAATTTGGATATCCTGTTCAACTCGTGCACGACATCTAGTTAGTATTTCACGCTTATTTTATTATTTGAAATGAAATGAAATGAAATGGAGTTTAACGTCCTACTGTTCTGCTCCTAACCTGGGCTAATGAAGACGGGCATACGCCATACAGTGTGCTATGAGGGAAATTTTGCCCGGACAGCGGCACTACGGCCTACTCTTATATCGAATTCCAACTGCCAAGGGATCTTTTACGTGCACGCCAATGTGTACACGGGACCTCGGTTTTTCGTCCCATTCGAACGACTAGACAGCTTTCCTTGTCAGCCCCTCCGTCCTGCATCACTGACAAGGGAGAACCACGCCGGAAAATCTGGATGAACTTTCTCGGCCAATGCAGGGATCGAACACCCGACCTCCAGGCTAGCGAGCTAGCGTCTTACCCACTTAGCCACGTGATCCCCTTTATTATTTGAAGGTGATACCTCCAGAATTTACTTGGAAAAATCCCAGACAATAAAATGACCATGATACATTTTTGTTCTCCGCGTACTGTATTTCGTAGTCGTTATGTAAGGTTACTTATTGAATTTGCTTGAATGGAGTTTTATGTAACACCTTGACACGTTGCACGCGCGACATATTCGTCAAGGATCACAACGAATTAAATGGTGATCATAGTTTTTTTTTTTAGATTTTTTGTGGTTGATACTGATTGATAACAAAAAACGTCCTTGAATACATGTGGTGTGACTTGAAAATTACATTTGACAATGGTTATATTGGATCAAGCGGAAAATTTGATGTGCATCAATCAGTTAACCTTTCAGCACGTAGGAATTTTTTTCCTTTAGTTTGTAAAACAAGTTAAATACAATTCGCGTAGATGCACTTTAGCTTTTGAAAATAGTTGAGGGTCGAAATTAGAGGATTTTCCCGACGAATAGAGAAATTGCACAAAAACCTTTTATCCATCTCCCCCAATCTGACGCCAGTCTAAGTCACTAAGACAAAAATCAGAGCGTGTATAAGTCTCCAAATGGCCTATGCATAATTTAAAGATACATTAGTTAAGAGTTTTATAAAGATTTGGCCATTCTTGCTATAATAATTCAAAAATAGATGATAAAAAAAAAAGAAAATGTTGAAAATTTCAGTCAAATTACTTTGTTCTGAACGGAATTGTCACTGCTGTTGGAAGTTTGGACTAGAAATAGGCATCAATTCTGTCTGCACCGTCTATGGGAATAGGCTATCGTTTGATTGACAGATAATAACTCCGTCCACATATTCTCAATTATCAAGTAACATGCTCAATGGCTATGGTAGCCTCGCTTGACAGGCCTTTCATCGCCAGTTTCCGGTAGTGACATCAGCGACTAACGCTAAACGTTAGCATGGTCCGCCATTTATTGATTTAATTTTAAATGGACGACTGTTTAAATCCAAATTGTATCCAAGCCATCTGTGGGTCTACAGAGTTGATTTTAAGCTCGTCGTGTAAATAAAGGGCTAATTAATAATTTCTATAACATCTGAAGCCCAAATAAAGACTTGCAATAGGCAGATTTAACTCTTGCATAATGTATGTTTAAGTAGTTTTTATTTTCTTTTAATTCGCATTTTTTACAACTTTAGTTTAGTTGATTATGTCCACCTTTTGTGTGCGTATTTTAATTTTTAAAAATATGGACGGCCCGCTCCGCTCACCCTTCTTAGTACTATTCTTACTAACACATATTCTAAATGTTATCATGTTATTCCAATAAACATGATAGCATGAAATGTTAGCGTTTACTGTTATTTTTAATATACATAATACATGTTCTATAAGTGTTTAAGATTATATCTAGTTGCTATGTCATCATACCAATGAGTTATGTAAGCATCAGTGCTAGTATCTTCTAATATCGTGTATCAAAATTGAGTGATAGCTCTGTAGAATAAACAGATTTGCTGAAACAGAGAGGACTCTCCCTTTCTTTACATGGACACAAAGTAGCTATCACCGAATAAACCGCCATGGAGGTGACATCTTCCATTATTGACATAGTCTATAGCTGGATTTAGCTATAAGTAGTGATTGGTGTCGTGCAAGGGGTGACGTATATTTACTATTTCTTGACCACATCATGCCACTTTTTATTTAGTGAACACACAGGTGTAGATACAAATAGCTACAAAAAATAACAATAAAAATGTTTTATATATTATCAACTTAGCAGTATAATTTTTGCTATATTTGAACCCTGGATCGGTCCAATTCGTTATCGTGTGTTGTGCAAGAAGTGCAAAATGCTAATTTTTCGGGAAGCTTAGATATAAGTCCAATTGGGAAGTTCACATGTCAAATATTTCGGGGTGTGGTGGAATTTAGTTTCGTGGTGTCAATATACCTCGAGGATATTTCCTACTCAATGTCTTGAATTTAGGGTTAGTAGTAGATTACGTTGTAGAACATCCGATATGACTTCTCATTGAAAAAATCACATGGCTGTGTTATGTACTGGAATGGGTTAAAACTGGCTAAATAAGAAATGATACGAAACCGAGTAAAATCGTAATGCAGAGATTTGTGTAATCTGCTTTGGCTATACTCTCATATAACATGCGAATTTATGTTTGGTTAAAGTAGCTAAGTCTCTAACTCAATATCATCCAAAGTCTTCGACATTGAAAACACGCATTATTTGTCAATTTAAATCAACATTGATGATGTGATCTTACCTGGAAAAGATTGGCTTCTGATATCCAATATTTAAGACAAAATAAACGTTTTACGAATCGTGTACCATAATGCGTTTCAGTGGCATTTGTAACAAGGGACTCGAAGAACGAGGCTAGACATATTCCACAAATTACTTCAACAACCGGTGACACCATATTCGTATCTATAGAGCATGCGCAATAAATACTATTACTGGAATAACCAGACGCTAGAGATTGTCATTCGATTGAGACGTTGGGCTATTTCGCCGAACATAACTGATTTGAAATTAGAGTAAACACAGAAACGATTTAATGTAAATCTGGGGCCTGTTTCACAAAATTTTAACCAACAGTCTAATATTATCCAAACAAATTACTAAAATTTGGATTTTATCTTTAGTTAAAATTTCGAGAAACAGGACCCAGTTTATACACATTCATATTACATTATTATATGCATTGTGACCCATTTGTGTCAATTTCTAGATCCCAAATATTAGCGATTTAGCCCCTTTAAAATGCAAGCTATCGTTTATCTTACACATTATCGTCTATCGTATATAGTATCGTGAGC